CTCTTTCTGTCTCTGTCTCTCTCTCTGTCTCTCTCTCCATCTATCTCTCTGTCTCTCTCTCTTTCTGTCTCTCTCTCTGTCTCTCTCAGTCTCTCTCTCAGTCTCTCAGTCCCTCTCTGTCTCTCTCTGTCTGTCTCTCTCTCTTTCTCTCTCTTTCTGTCTCTCTCTATCTCTCTCTCTGTCTCTCTCTCTGTCTCTCTCTTTCTCTCTCTAAGACACATACATACAGACCCACATACTCAGAATGTTTTTCTCAACTTATCTTTCTCTCTCTCTCTCTCTCTCTCTCTCTCTCTCTCTCTCTCTCTCTCTCTGTGTGTGTGTCTCTCTAAAGACACATACATCTCTATCTCTCTATGTCTTTCTAAGACACATACAGACACATACTCTAAATATTTTTTTTTTAAACTTATCTCTCTTTCTCTCCCTCCCTCGCACATATAATCCAAAATTAAGTCTTTCTGATTATGTGTATGTTTGCTCTCTCTCTCTTTTTCCCTTTCCCTCCCTCACTCTCTCTTTGCCACCCCCCCCCCTGCCACTTTACCTCTCTCTCTAGCTGTGTGTTTATTTCCTTTTCCCTTATACACACACACATACATACACAGAAATAAACACAACAAACACAAACTTGATCCACAGCCACACACAGCTATACGCACACCCACACACACCCACAGCCACACAATCATTAGCTAGCTTCTCTGTACGATTTTCCGAGTCATTTAACACGGACAAGGTCAAACATCGCTAAAGGATAAGACCCCAATAGCATGCGGGCCAGATGCGAAACCAGACCCGTTGATCAATGGCAGCGATTATATGCCACACAGTCTCCACAGGAGCCGATGAACAGTGGCCCAATTATGCTCGACTTAACTGTAGACACCGTGCGAGGGCCATATTTGCCGAACTCTATATCTGCAATCCCAAACTATGACAATGTCGGTGCCTGCAGGATCGATCGTTGGAATAACGCTGATCAGACGAGGCTGGGGCGAGTTCTATGCAGTTCTGTTATATTTGTGTGGTGGTCTTCTTATGTATAACTATTCTGCCGAAGAAGAGAACCTGGTATTTGTGTAGGCTCCCCCTCCCTGGCAGAAGCCCAGAGTAAAGATCTGATGCTTCCGCAACGCTGTGCTTTGGATGGCAATAGAACAAAGCTAATTCCAGATGCCCAGTTCATCCTGCACCGCAAGTTTTGTTTAGGACACTGCTAACAGCCAGAGAGAGAACTTTCCTGGTGACCATACCGTTAAAAGGTTGGTAAGGGTTGGTGTTAGGCTGGTGTTTTTGAGAACCAAATACGTACGAAACGTGGAGGAAACAAGATCTTTTAATTACCCGAATCCCAGTCAGCCGTATGCGCGGGCGCGCGTGTGTGTGCGTGTGTACACGCACTTCTGTCAGGTCTCATGTGTCTTGTTTGTCTTCTTCGTCATTACCGGCTGTAAAACCACAGAGAAAAGTTCCAGTTGTTCGTCCAGAATCTGGGTGCTGCGTGCACATCCGTTTTACAGACCTGACTTTTTTTGGGTATACAGCCTGTTGTTTTATTGTCTCTCAAGCAGATGCACTCCAATTTTGAAAGATATGCCTAATTAGTCGACTCTTACGACAGGCTCGCTGTCAAAAAAAAGAGAATGGTATAGGAAAGGGGGAGGGGGGCGTTGCATCTATTATTATTTACCCTTATAATGGGGACCTGAAACCCTCAGGGGAATCTAAAGATCTACCAGCACGGCGACTCTGTAAGCCACATAAATAAATACAGTGAACACAAACTAGGACTTTGGAGCTTAGAGGAGAATAAGGGGTGGGGAGGGCCACACAGAAACCTGAGAGCTTAACCTAGCCGCCTTGGGGTCCCCCTCCTCCACCATCCCCACATTGACGTGTGGGTTTCGGGGTCTCAGCCGCCCCCTTTAGGAAAGGGCCCCAAATTAGTACTATTCTAATAACTACTACTAGTACCGCTACGACTATTGCTGCTGCTGCTACTACTACTACACGACTACCGCGCTGGTCTGTTGCTGTAGCGGCTGCTACTACTACCCCAACCGTCAATACAGTCACCAGCACCAGTGTACTAAGTAAAGAACCCATTTTTCATGGATATTGGGCACATAGGGCCGAACCTATATTTCACAGACCAATCTGCACTCAGTAGATGATATGGTCAACATCACACCGGTCCCCTTTACTTCCTATAACTTTACCTGGCATCCAATTACGGCCGGGAGCCAAGTTTTTTTTTTTTAAGGACAGATGTCCGGCGCTTTCGGAATCTGAACACACGACCATCGCATCCACAGGCAAAATAACTGCTACACTTTGGCGGGCCCGAAACCACTGAACTAAACTGTAAAAATATTTTAAGCAATAAACGCTCTTGTATTAAGAGTATCGCAAACTGTGCATAAATGTGTGTGTGTGTTTGTGCTTTCATTTGATAGCCGCAACATTACAGAGGTTTTCCTGCCACAAATGTAACCACTTCTTAAAAGAAACACAACGCCCGTAACAAAGCCAAGGGATGTAAACAGACACCTTATCCTCCTGAAAGCTGGGTCTCTGGCGAGCTCACCTTTCCTACACACCGACAGACAAGAGGGTGCTGTCTTCCAACAAATTTTTCTCCAGCATCACATTTATCAGAATAAATGTTAAAAATAAATCTTACAGACTACAGCAGTGATTCCCAAACTGAGCGCCGCGACCTCTTCACAGGGGCGCCCCGAAATATTCGAAGAAACACTAGTTTTATTTTTTGGGGGTCAATCTCTTACAAACGAATAGTCATATTTTTACTTAGGTTAGGGCGCTTTGTGAAAATAAAAATGTAGTTGAAAAATAGGCACCGCGACTTAGAAAACGTTTGGGACACACTGAACTACAAGGATTCAAGCTGTACTGCTGAGACACACTGGACTACAGGGATTCAAGCAGAACTGTTGAGACACACTGGACTACAGGGATTCAAGCAGAGCTGTTGAGATACACTGGACTACAGGGATTCAAGCTGAACTGTTGAGACGCACTGGACTACAGGGATTCAAGTAGAACTGTTGAGACACACTGTACTACAGGGATTCAAGCAGAACTGTTGAGACACACTGGACTACAGGAATTCAAGCAGAACTGTTGAGACACACAGGACTACAGGGATTCAAGCAGAACTGTTGAGACACACTGGACTACAGGGATTCAAGCTGAACTGTTGAGACACACAGGACTACAGGTATTCAATCAGTACTGTTGAGACACACTGGACTACAGGGATTCAAGCTGAACTGTTGAGACACACTGGACTACAGGTATTCAATCAGTACTGTTGAGACACACTGGACTACAGGGATTCAAGCTGAACTGTTGAGACGCACTGGACTACAGGGATTCAAGCTGAACTGTTGAGACATACTGGACTACAGGGATTCAAGTAGAACTGTTGAGACATACTGGACTACAGGGATTCAAGCAGAACTGTTGAGACACACTGGACTACAGGGATTCAAGCAGAACTGTTGAGACATACTGGACTACAGGGATTCAAGCAGAACTGTTGAGACACACTGGACTACAGGGATTCAAGCAGAACTGTTGAGACACACTGGACTACAGGGATTCAAGCAGAACTGTTGAGACATACTGGACTACAGGGATTCAAGTAGAACTGTTGAGACACACTGGACAACAGGGATTCAAGTAGAACTGTAGGATAGCCATTAAAAAAAAAATTTAATTACCGTGCCTGGTTGGCAGCAACTGAGTTGAAACGGCAGGCGGGATATCCCATGCTGCAACTTGATTGTGTCTGATAACAGCGCGTGCTCAAAGCTCCGGTTTAGGGGCTTGTGGGGTGGTGTGTATGTGTCTGTAAAGTGTGGCTGAGTGGTGGGAGTGTGTGCGTGTGTGTAAGGTGGAAGAGATGGCGCGTGTGTTTGCGCGTGCTTTATTTTAAGTGAACGGACAGGTTTTTAACCAGCTGAAGCTTGATAAACTGATGGTTCTTCTCTGGAGGGGATAACGCTGGGGGGGAAGAAGTAGGTGTCGGAAATCACCGACAATTTTGCTCAAACATGCTGTGTGCGAGTTAGTGAGTGAATGAAAGTGTGAGTATTCATATTCTAGGGAGATAACACAGGAAATTAGGGTGATAAGCTTTTTGTTAAAAATCAAGAACAACTTCACACACACTTACACACGCGCGCAAACACACACACACACACAAAATCAAGACACTTTGACACACACATACCGACACATACACACACACACAATGAAGGACAATTTGACACACATACTGACACACTTACACACACATACACACACACAATCAATGACAATTTGACATACACATACAATCAAGGACAATCTGACACCTACACACACATACACAAAATCAAGGACAATTCGACACAAACACTCACAGGTAAACACTATGGCTGCTTCTCTCTTCTCTGGTCTGCTACACTTTGAGGGAGACATAAGTACAGACCCGTCGTTTCTTTTCAAGAATAAAGCAAAAGGTAACTAACAATAGTTTGCTGAAATCGAATGTCTTGGGGTCAACAGTTGCTGGAGGAGGAGGAGAAGAAGAAAAAAAAAAAGAAGAAGAAGAAGAAGAAGAAGAAGAAGAAGAAGAAGAAGAAGAAGAAGAAGAAGAAGAAAAAGAAGAAGAAGAAGAAGAAGAAGATGAAGAAGAAGACGAAGAAGAAGAAGAAGAAAAAGAAAAAGAAGAAGAAGAAAAAAAGAAGAAGAAGAAGAAGAAGAAGAAGAAGAAGAAGGAAGAAGAAGAAGAAGAAGAAGAAGAAGAAGAAGAAGAAGAAGAAGAAGAAGAAGAAGAAGAAGAAGAAGAAGAAGAAGAAGAAGAAGAAGAAGAAGAAGAAGAAGAAGAAGAAGAAGAAGAAGATCACAGTTTTCATTCTCCTGTGTACTTTACAAAAGTTTAATCACCCCTGCTTACATCAAACAAATTGAACGTCGAAGCTACTTACCCTGTCGGGAAAGGTATAGTAAACATTCCCTGTGGGGGTGTAGGCGGCCGATTGAAGCAGTAAAAATCCTCCTCTGTTTGTGTCCCAATGGAGACCATCGTTGGACAACGACTTTTCATGGCTCTGCTACTTCCACTTCCGCCGCTGTTGATTTCACCACCGCTGCCCGCTTTACTTGTCCGCCGCAAGACTTCCACTACGATTGGTTCTCTGGCCGATCTGAAAGCCTCCACCGCTTCATGGTGACTAGACTGCGAAAGATCTTGGCCATTTACCTGTTGGAAGGTAACAAAAGCATAACACTTTATATAACAATCATGGGTATCAGACAGGTTTGCAACCTTTCAACAAAAGCATTACACTTAATATAACAATCATGGGTATCAGACAGGTTTGCAACCTTTCAACAAAAGCATTACACTTAATATAACAATCATGGGTATCAGACAGGTTTGCATCCTTGAGAACATTAGGCGAGGAGAGGAGTGGGTCAAAGTGCCACCTGAGCAGTCAGACTTGTGTAGAGTCATAATCACGCTAAGCCCGGAATGCAGAGACTGGCCAGCAGGTGCCACGGAGGTGGAAATTCAGCAATTAATTCAAGATAATGCTTACTCAGAGGATTTGATCATTTACACAGACGGTTCAGTGTCAAGAGGCAAAAGAAGTGCTTGAGGCTTTTTAGCAAAATGGTCGACGTTTGGTGCAGGAGAGCCTAGCATATGATACCACAACATCCAGCTTAAGAATGGAGGTGGAGGCGGTCACTGCAGCTTTCCGCTGGCTAGAGAACACGACACACACACACATTGTAATTGTAACTGATTCAGAAAGCATGCTGAGGAAGATCAGAACAGGTATGCTTCGTGCAGAGTGGCATGCTTCGCTGCGGAGGACACGAGTGAGGAGTATTGTCTGGATTTTTTTCACCGGGTGACGCCGGTGTGTTGGGAAATGAACAGGCGGACAGACTGGCTGGCTCTGCACAAATTGGTGGAATACTGCTACATGATAGGGCAGACGTGGTTAGTGCCTTGTGGGAGAGCGTGTACAATGCGGAGGAGCAGATGGATCAACAGGCTGGTGAGATTGATGCAGTTTGGGGTGACGAGATGTTCTGGCAGAAGCTCAAGGCTCAGAGGAAAGGCAAGACGGACGTTTAATCAGAAAGCTACTGGCACCATTAGTATCGGAACTCTTCCTGGCTGCTGAAGATGGGGACGGAGCGCATATGGGAATGCCCCGAGTGCTGTGATGTCGGTTCTTGAATCAAATCAAATCAAATCATGGGTATTTGACAGTGTTGCCACTTTGGATGTTTACATACAGATTTAGATGTTCCCTTGCATTTAGATGGCGTTTTTGACGTCTTGACGGTAGATGTTTTTCTATAAGTTTTCCATTTGGAGTAAATTTATCAAATCTAACCTAAGAAACAGGATGAAATTTGACCTCTTTAATGCTATCTTGACAATAAAATTCTGCCTTATCAAAGTTGGAAAAGTCTGTTCCACTTATCAGCTCCCTGATTGGTATTAAAAGAAATTGGAACAGCGAAAGCATACCAGAGTCATTTTGGATTTGAATCTTCAACTTCATCATCCAAGCTAAGTTTATCCTGTGGATCTTGTAAGGCAGACTTCAGTAAAGATGAGGCCATGAGTCTGTAGGGTAATTTGTAACTCTGTTTTGGATGTTTTTTGTCAACGAAAAGTGGCAACACTGGTATTTGAGTTAAAGACGGCTGTATACAAGGGCTGCCAATACTTGGGTTTCCCCCCAAAATCTGGGTTTTTATTTGACGCCTTGGGTTCAGATGATGGAATCTTGGGTTTAAAAAATATATCCTTATTAAAAAAAAAAGGGGGTAAATGTTTCGTTTCTTAACTACAAAATGTGTACTTTTTATTATTCTTGGGTTTTTGTTTTGTTTTTTGTTCTTTGCTTTTGTATTGCCTGAGTTTTTTTTTGTCAACTCCGTGCATATCCTTTACTGGACGTCAAAAACCATCCCTGGCTTTTTGTTTAGCATTTGAGATTTAACTATGCAATTTGACGTTCAGTAGTTTGCCACTGCCTTCTGAACGAGGTGGTTGTGGGTTCATGAACTATTGGGGAATTAACATCAGAATCACTAACCTTCCTGCGTGGGTTATGGGGCTCTATTGTGGGGGGGGGGGGGAGAAATATATCCATTGCCTTTCTGAGAAGGATGTCATAACAGTAGACTAAATGTGAGTTACTTTCGAAGTCAGAGTGCATCTGCCTGAGAGGCAAGGAACCAACAACAATGCATATTATATATATATATATATATATATATATATATATATATATATATATATATATATATATATATATATATATATATAGAGAGAGAGAGAGAGAGAGAGAGAGAGAGAGAGATCTTTAAAACGGGCGTGAACGCAAAAGCCAGGTTATCAAATAGGACTAGTGCAGAGTTGGGCGAAAAACGGGAATTTACTGCCGAAATTCAAAGCTCGTGAACGAGAAAAGAAGAAGAAGAACAAGAAGAAGAACAAGAACAAGAAAAAAGAAGAGGAGGAGAAGGAGCAGAGGAAGAAGAAGAAGAAGAAGAAGAAGAAGAAGAAGAAGAAGAAGAAGAAGAAGAAGAAGAAGAAGAAGAAGAAGAAGAAGAAGAAGAAGAAGAAGAAGAAGAAGAAGAAGAAGAAGAAGAAGAAGGAGGAGAAGAAGAAGAAGAAGAAGAAGAAGAAGAAGAAGAAGAAGAAGAAGAAGAAGAAGAAGAAGAAGAAGAAGAAGAAGAAGAAGAAGAAGAAGAAGAAGAAGAAGAAAGAAGAAGAAGGACGAAGAAGAAGAAGAAGAAGAAGAAGAAGAAGAAGAAGAAGAAGAAGAAGAAGAAGAATGACTGACTGAAAGAAAATAAGGTTCTTAATTTATAACGTACCCCAAACAGGAAATTCCCGTGGGAAATCCACAGCTGACCTGACAGTCCATTTTTTCAAGGGGTGCAAGTGTGCTGTTTTGTGGTGCTTTTTTTTTTAGTGCTCATCTAGTGTCTTCTAATCCTAACCCTAACCCTAACCCTAAACTTTAGTGTAGAAAAATCGTGGGAAACTACAACCTGAACACCCTAGAATTTATTGGGAATGTCTCCCGTGACGTTGTCGCGACGTCAGGGGTAAGTTATAAATTAGGTACCGAAAAAAAAAAAACGTTAAGAAAGCATTGAAAACTACTGAATGTACCTGTCTTGTAAAACCCAACAGGCAAAAAAAAAAAAAAAAAATTGCCTGAAGTTGGTTAGTTCTGAAACGTCTTGTGCATGATATACAACCAACTCTCTTAACACATAATTGACCATGGTAGTTCAGTTCAGTGAACTGGTGCGTCTGTTATGGTGGAGAGGTGACGAAAATGCAACCAGCCTTCTGACCTGTAGCGACTCTTGTATCGGACAGTTTCAGTTATAACTACGGAAAAGATTTTCTGAAACACTTGAACAGAACAGACCAAGTCACAGTTTTTCGCTTACGTACTGGACACTGCAGACTCAATAAACACTCACATAAATTAGGTATGAGCCAAACAGCTCTCTGCCAGTGCCTTCGTGCTGAACAGACTCCAGAACATGTCCTGCAAGACTGTCCTCTCCTGGCGGAGCTGCGGAGCGACATATGGCAACACCCAGTAGAACTGACAACTAAGCTTTGGGGAAACCTAAGAGACCTTGAAAAGACATCCCAGTTTATGACCCACAGTGGATTATGCGCATGACCAGAGATCGCTGAAAAAGAAGAAGGACAGTTTCAGAGATAATAACCAAATACAGGGTGACTCAGAAATTCCCATACGTAGATTAAAAGTATAACTCCAGCTGTGCTTGTGCGTATTCTTCGGCATTGCTGCACGCACATCGAAATGTGTTTTCAAAATATTAGTTGTCATGTAGCGCATATTATAAAAATAAAGGTGGTTTTTTATACAAACCATTTTATTTTCCCTACGTGTGAAAACTTTAGGGACACCCTGTAGAGACACAACCTTATAGGGTTTCTTACATCAGGCAGGTCAGGGGGTTCGAACCAGACAAAAAGACAAGTCTCAAATCTGGTGGCTTGCAGACTGAGTGCGGTCCGTTATTAATCACTTGCTTGAAATCTTTTGAGGAGAGAAGAGGGACAAAGAAACCTACCCTGCTTCGCCAAACAAATGTCTGCCGGAATCACATGTACTAGGCCAGAGGGTTAACGAAACATGCAGTATAACTCGCTTCAAGGAGACAAAACAACAGACATACGTAGATAAAAACAACAACCATACTAACAACAATTACTGCTATTTTAAACAGACTAGATCAACTACAGGAAATGAAAAATGTTGGCCAGATTTCCCAAGAGGTGGTGACTATAGAAACCGGATAGGCCAGAAAATGCTTTTCAAGATGTAATGTTTGTGAAAACATCCTCGTTGTTCTGTTGTGCCACTATCTGTCACATAGGGCTCGCATTCTATTTCTTCCTTCCGTCTATTCTATGCAATCTCTTCGATATCATGGAAGAAATCCGGTCCAGCCCCTTTGGCCTCTCTGATCAACGTTTCTTATACGGTTTGTTTTGGACGTTATCGCTTCCTCGATCTCTTTATTTTCTCATTTTAGTATCTGCTTGGCGATTCTCTGCTCTGTTTCTTCTCATGATAACAACACAGCGCCGCCTCCGTTCATCTTATAACTGTTGTTATCGGTGGTAGCTCAGACATTCCTCTTATTTCTTCGCCCCCCCCCCCCTCCCCAGTTTGTGTTAGACACTTTCCTCACTGGCTTATGTTTTTATTGAAATATCTTTTGAATTTAAAAAATATAACTCAATTTTTAAAAACTATACCATCTAGTTTTCCATATTTTATTCAGGCTTTTAGGGCACGAGAAATCTATACAAATGAAAGTAAGATTTCGATAGAAACGATTTAAAATATACATGGCACCACTTCAGTGTCAATGTGAGAACCTCCAGAGAGATACAACATAAATAAATTAACAAGCAAGATTAAACAGCGTTGGTTTCCAGAATCTTAACTTTAAATGTCAGAGGCCAGACAGCTAGTGGTCGTAGTGGTGATGATAATTGCGGGCGTATCAAACCACGTACAGTGGTACCTTAGTATACGTCCGCTTTCCAATAAGTCCAACTTGGTATACGTCCTGTTAAGACGCCATGTTTGGATCACGACTCGGGTGCTAGAAGTTACCAGGCGCAACCAGGTCCAAATAGGGAAAAAAAGACAAAGAAAAAGA